ATTTCTTACTTACAATACAATTATTATCAATTTTGGTGACCTATTTTTAATTGTTTTTGGCACCATAATTTATTAATAGTTTAATTGTGCTTTAAATTTCTTTTTTAACAATTCATTTAAAATGTTTGCAAAGACGAATTTAAAACATTTAAACACGAAAAAACTGTGAATATTAATATGTCAAGACTTTCTGGTTATCACATCATGATAGTCTCAAATACTTCGCAACTATCAAAGACTTTATTAACTAAGAGTTTGTTTACAAAAAATGGTAGCAATATGAAAAAGTTCCACTTCAACCCAATTCCGTTGAATTCTAAAACAATTGTGTACTTCCCGAAAATCGAAACACTTCATTTGTGGGTAAATAAGCATGAGAATTTTGGCAATGAATTTATGATCAACACAGAAGAAAACGGAGATTGTGGAAATAAAGCCGTTTTTAAAAAAAGAGTTTTATCGAATCATTGTGTGGTTTAATGTTGATTTTGAAACTGTTGACAGAAACAAAAGTCGAAACATTGAGTTTAAAAATGTTACTTACACTCAAAATGATAGAAAGAAATTTGGTAACAACATTCCACCGAATATAACATCAATTGGTAAATATTGTTTTGGTTATTGTAGTAGTTTAAATAGTGTCAACATACCATCAAGTGTTACATCAATTAATAATGGATGTTTCAGAGTATGCAGTAGTCTAAGTAGTGTTACAATACCATCTTGTATTAAATCAATTGGTGATTATTGTTTTAATGAATGTATTAATTTGACTAGTATTACAATACCATCAAGTGTCATATCAATTGGGATTCAATGTTTCCTATCAAATACAGTAGTTCTTAATTGACAAAAAAACTGAGACTTAACCTTTTTTCATTTAACAACTTTTCAAAAAAGAAAATAAAAAATGAGTGCGATTTTTTTCTCCAAATGTGGGTTTCTCGTCTCACTTTAATTATAATTTAATTTTTATTCTTTTTGTACTTTTTTAAGATGTAGAGGAAAAATAACAATTCAAAACAAATGCGATTTTTATCCAAATAAAACTAAATTTGGTGATGAAGGAACACCTGGATTGTTCGTTGGTAAAAATACAATGATATTAAAGCTGTAAGAGTTAAAGAAAAAACTAAAAAAATTGCAAAACAAAAAAATAGGTTCAAAATTATCAAAAAAGAATTCACTTTCAGTTTTGTTAAAATGTGTTAAAACTTTTCTGGGAAATAATAAGTTGTTGTAATATTTGATTTTCATTTCTTCATTTCAACACAAGTTTCAGTTGAACAAAAGTTGAAATATGCGAGTAGTAGAAATCCCATTTTTTTGGTACTTCATTTTTTAAGGTGAAGAGGAAAAATAACAGCTTATTTAAAAGAAAGAAGTACAAAAAGAATATTATCAATCTTTTGTTGTTTTTTTTATTGTTATGGAAAAAATGATTAAGCCTGTTTTTTGCTGAAAAATAAAAAAAATAAAAAAAAATAACTGTTTTAAGGATATACGGTAATAATATCGAAATACAAATCTGGATTTGCATTTTTGAACGCAAACTTTTCAACAATCACTGATTTTTTTAAGTTTTTGACTAACACGAGATTTTTACAGTCATGAAATGAATCGTTTTTAATCAACCACGTGTTTTTATTAACCCATATCTCTTTCAAATGGTAACACCGATTCAATAAATAGCAGTCTATAACAGTCACTTCGTCTGGAATAATTAAAATTCCATTTTTAACATCCCATTCAATAACATTATACAATACAACTTCTCCTTCAATTTTGTAATTTTTAATTAAAAACTTATAAATTCTGTAATCGAGATTTGTACGATAAATTCCATCTGTTGGTGGATGTGCAAATTCGATGTTTTTAAGGTTTTGAAAATTAATGTTGTTCATGATTTGGTTATTTAAAAAATCGTCGTCAAGGAATGTGATTGATGTCAATTGCCCACTTGAATATATGTTTCTATTTATTTTATAAGGTAGAGCTGCTTCTTTGATTGTTTCTAATATTGAAAAGTCAAAACGAGTATTAAGACATTTTGGTAAAAGTAATTTTTTGATGTTTTTACACTCACGAAAATTTTCTGCATATAATAAAGATATATTGTCTGGGACTTGATAAGTGTCAATTTCCAAATCTTTTAATCTTACATTTTTTTCTATTGTTTTTAAATTTGTAATATTAAATGGTAACAGCCCATTAAATAACTCACAATCCTTACAGGAATACACATATTCATCAACTATTAATTTCTTTGTGTCATCTAGAGTCGTCATCCAACACGCGGCTTTGCAATTCACGGATTGAGTACCAACAATTTTGATTGATTGTAACGAATTGCATTGATACAAATTGTTAAAATAGCTTTTCGAATTCAAAGTGAGTGCAGTGATCATTTTTAGGTTCTCTTGTTTTTCAAAAACCTCCATGTGCGACAAATCAAGTTGCTTCAAATCACAATCAGACAACGCATTTTTGCGAATTACTTTGATTGTCGGCGCAATGTATTTATCACTCAAATTTTTATTTCCAGAAAAAGCGGATTCACAGATTTCATTAACTTCACAGTCAATAGAAAACCCTCTTCTAACATCACTTTGTGTGATAAATAATGTTTTCCTGATATTAGAAAATACACTTGAACATGACACGTTTAATTCCAATTCAACAGTTTGTGAAGGAAATGAAGTCACGTGTTTAATATTTAACACGTCGTAAAATGGGTATTTTCCACACTTTGTCAAATTTGAGCAAAATGTGAGAGCAGAGAGTGTGTCACACCCCATAAAACACTTTGATCCCAAAACACTGACGTTTTTTAAATTAATTTCTTTAAGGGAAGCACACCCCTCAAAACACAAATCGGGTATTGTGTTGATATGATCAGAAAGTGTAATTGAGTTCAATAATTTATTGTATTTAAAGGTTTTTATGGATAATTTAGAAATATTAGAACATTCTAAATCAGTAAATATTTTGAATTTTGATTTAAACGCATTTGGTGATAATATAGATGCTTCTTTATATGAATAGTTGTTTTGTAAATCACCAGAAGAAAATGTGATATGTGGGCATATCACTTTTATTTTCTTATTCAACTTTTTGTATCTGGAAAGTTCAATTGGGTAATGCACATAATATTGAAAAAATCCGGGGACAAATTTGTCTTGTTTGTCATAAAGGTGAAGAGTTTCAACATTTTCGAAATAATTAACCATTTTTGGATTCCATTGAATTGGATTAAAATGAAACATCAGTGGGATCTCTTTAAACTTTTTGCAGACTAAAACCAATTTTTCGAATTGGTATAAACAATCAAAATATTTTGAAACAATCATCATTGAGTACCGGTCTAAAGAGGTATTCATTCAATGTGTTATTTGTTTTGAGTTTCATTTTATAGTTATTTTAAAACAGAATCAAAAGACTGGTTGTTTAATAGAGTCAATTTACAAACGTTATTTGTTCTCTAACTTATCTGGTTCTATTTGGACCATTAAAATTGTAATATTTCGGGAAAACGTCGCAAAAATTATCCTTTTTGTTTTAATTTTTTCAATATTTACCTAATGCCCGATGTTTACAATAAATTAAAGCTTTTTTCTGTTCACAAAATAAAGTTTAAAAACAAGATAATGTCAAATAATTGACTCTATACAATTTCAATTTTTTATAATTTGTACAAATACAGAATGAAGGCGGAATGAAAGCTTGGCGATAATTAAATACTTGATGTATTAAATAACAATTTTATATTATCAATTGTATAACTGTTCACCCTTTTTAAATTGTACAAATTGTATACTTGATAAACAAGTTATTAACCCAAAAAGTTGTTAAAGTACAGATAGAAGAATT